TTCAGGCAGATCGGATGTTGTTTGGCTGAGTTATAAGCCTATCTACCTTCTGCCAGCAGGTGGCGTTATGACTGACTCATTACTGTTTTGGGGATGTGTTCAGAAGAGGACTTTTATGAGCCATGTAAAGTTTCAGGCTGATCTGACTTTGTGTGCTTGAGATATAAGGACTTCCTGTTCCACGGCGAAGTGTTGAGGTTTGTCATGCCGCCACAGACACGCCCCTCTGCAAAAACTCTAGATCTTGACAATATATCATCACTTCAGCTTTCAGATAACACCACCCAAATTTGGTGCTGATACAAAAAAAAAATAGTGGGAGGAGTTTATTACTCTGTAAATCATGACATTTCCTGTGGCCAGCAGGTGGCGCTATAACTGTATCTGGATATTGGCATGTAAACGTGTTCTGGTCTGGACTCTTATTAAACATGTGAATTTTGAGGCAGATCGGATAATGCATGCCTAAGTTATAATGACTTCCGGTTTTGTGGCGAATCGTCAAAGTTTGCGGGGCCGCCACGGACACGCCCATCGACAAAAACTATAAAGCTCCGCAATTTCACATCGCCAAGGCCTTTAGATGACAAAACCCAATTTTGGTGTCGATAGCATAAAATCCCTAGGAGGAGTTCGTTAAGATACAACGCCTGGAAATGGCAAAAACGCCTCTTATTTGCAGCGGGAAGTTAAAAATATCCGACTTCCTGTTGGGTTTGAGATATGGCTCCAAGAGACTTTTTCGTATGTTTTGGCGTGTTTGAGGTGTGTGCCAATTTTCGCGCATGTGCGTGATTCGTAGATCAGGGGCTCGTCCGTTTAATTTTTCTAGGTGGCGCTGTCGAGTCATTTTGCCACGCCCACTTCAATATTGTTATGTGGATGTGTTCAAGAGATGACGTATATCAACCATATGAAGTTTCAGGCTGATCAGACTTTGTGTGGTTGAGTTATGAGGACTTCCTGTTCCTTGGCGAAGCGTTGAGGTTTGTCATGCCACCACGGACACGCCCCTCTGCAAAAACTCTAGATCTTTACAATATATCACCGATAGAGCTTTCAGATGACACCACTCAATTTTGGTGATGATACCATAAAATTTGTGGGAGGAGTTTGTTACAGTGTAAAACATGTCATTTCCTGTGGCCAGTAGGTGGCGCTATTTCTGTATCTGGATAATGGCATGTAAACGTGTTCAGGTCAGGACTCTTATCAAAAGTGTGAATTTTGAGGCAGATCGGGTAATGCATGCCTGAGTTATAACGACTTCCTGTTTTGTGGCGAATCGTCAAAGTTTGCGAGGCCGCCACGGACACGCCCATCGACGAAAACTCTAAAGCTTCGCAATTTAACATCGCCAAGGCCTTTAGATGACAAAACCCAATTTTGGTGTCGATCGGATAAAATCCCTAGGAGGAGTTCGTTAAAACACAACGCCTGGAAATGGCAAAAACGCCACTTTTTCGCCGCAGGAAGTTAAAAATATCCGACTTCCTGTTGGGTTTGAGATATGGCTCCAAGAGACTTTTTCGTATGTTTTGGCGTGTTTGAGGTGTGTGCCAATTTTCGTGCATGTGTGTGATTCGTGGATCGGGGGCTCGTCCGTTTAATTTTTCTAGGTGGCGCTGTCGAGTCATTTTGCCACGCCCACTTCCGAGACCCATATCAACCTGCTATTTACACCGGGTTTGGTTTGTGTGCAAATTTTCATGAGTTTTCGGGCATGTTTAGACCCTCAAAAGTGCCCCGATAGGGGGCGGAATAATAATAATAATAATAATTAAAGCTGCAAGCAGCGATGATAGGGACCTCGCACCCGGGCTCACCGCCGCCCGGTCGCCTCAGGATGATAGAGAACAGCGAACAATAATATTTTAAGCCGATATATATAAAGAAGCCGAGAAAATCACAGATTTATGCCAAACTTCCTCCTGTCAGCAGGTGGCGCTATGACTGTGACTCAAGATTGGTATGTAGATGTGTTCAGGAGAGGAATCTTATCAACCATGTGAATTTTCAGGCAGGTCGGACGTTGTTTGGCTGAGTTATAAGCCAAAATTCCTGTTGCCAGCAGGTGGCGCTTTGACTGTCTTAATGTTGGTATGTTAATGTCGTTAGAAGAGGATTTTAATCAACCATGTGAAGTTTCAGGCAGATTAGACATTGTGGGGCTGAGTTGTAAGCAAAACTACCTTCTGCCAGCAGGTGGCGCTATGACAGACTCAATATTGTTATGTGGATGTATTCAGGAGAGGACTTTTATCCACCATGTTAAGTTTCACGCTGATCGGACATTGTGTGGTTGAGTTATAAGCCAAAATTCCTTCCGTCACTAGGTGGCGCTATGACTGACTCAATATTGGCATGTATATGTGTTTAGGAGATGACTTTTATCAAGCATGTGAAGTTTCAGGCTTATCGGACATTGTGTGGTTGAGTTATAAGGACTTCCTGTTCCATGGCGAAGCGTTGAGGTTTGTCATGCCACAACGGACACGCCTTTCTGCGAAAACTCTAGATCTTCACAATATATCATCGCTAGAGCTTTCAGATGACACCACCCAAATTTGGTGCTGATACTATAAAATTTGTGAGAGGAGTTCGTTACACTGTAAAACATGTCATTTCCTGCGGCCAGCAGGTGGCGCTATAACTTTTCCTGGATATCGGCATGTTAAAGTGTTCAGGTCAGGACTCTTATCAAATATGTGAATTTTGAGGCAGATCGGATAATGCATGCCTAAGTTATAACGACTTCCTGTTTTGTGGCGAATCATCAAAGTTTGCAAGGCCGCCACGGACACGCCCATCGACAAAACCTCTAAAGCTTCGCAATTTAACATCGCCAAGGCCTTTAGATGACAAAACCCAATTTTGGTGTCGATCAGATAAAATCCCTAGGAGGAGTTCGTTAAGATGTAAAGCCTGGAAATGGCAAAAATGCCACTTATTTGCAGCAGGAAGTTAAAAATATCCGACTTCCTGTTGGGTTTGACATATTGCTCCAAGAGACTTTTTCGTATATTTTGGCGTGTTTGAGGTGTGTGCCAATTTTCGTGCATGTGCGTGATTCGTAGATCAGGGGCTCGTCCGTTTAAATTTTAAAGGTGGCGCTCTTGAGCCATTTTGCCACGCCCACTTCATTATTGTTATGAGGATGTGTTCAGGGGAGAACTTCTATCAACCATGTGAAGTTTCAGGCAGATCGGACTTTGTGTGGTTGAGTTATGAGGACTTCCTGTTCCATGGCGAAGCGTTGAGGTTTGTCATGCCGCCACGGACACGCCCCTCTGCAAAAACTCTAGATCTTCACAATATATCACCGATAGAGCTTTCAGATGACACCACTCAAATTTGGGGCTGATACGGAAAAATTTGTGGGAGGAGTTTGTCACGATGTAAAACATGTCATTTCCTGTGGCCAGCAGGTGGCGCTATAGCTATATCTGGATATGGGCATGTAAATGTGTTCAGGTCAGGACTCTTATCAAACGTGTGAAATTTGAAGCAGATCGGATAATGCATGCCTGAGTTATAACGACTTCCTGTTTTCTGGCGAATCGTCAAAGTTTGCGAGGCCCCTACGGACACGCCCATCGACGAAAACTCTTAAGCTTCGCAATTTAACATCGCCAAGGCCTTTAGATGACAAAACCCAATTTTGGTGCCGATCGGATAAAATCCCTAGGAGGAGTTCGTTAAAATACAACGCCTGAAAATGGCAAAAATGCCACTTTTTCGCCGCAGGAAGTTAAAAATATCCGACTTCCTGTTGGGTTTGAGATATGGCTCCAAGAGACTTTTTCGTATGTTTTGGCATGTTTGAGGTGTGTGCCAATTTTCGTGCATGTGTGTGATTCGTGGATCGGGGGCTCGTCCTTTTAAATTTTCTAGGTGGCGCTGTCGAGTCATTTTGCCACGCCCACTTCCGAAACCCCTAAAACCCAGCCATTTACACCGCGTTTGGTGTGTGTGCAAATTTTCGTGAGTTTTCGGGCATGTTTAGACCCTCAAAAGTGCCCCGATTGGGGGCGGAATAATAATAATAATAATAATAATAATAATAATAATAATAATAATAATAATAAAAAACGGAGCAATTCCAATAGGGCCTACGCACCGTTTCGGTGCTCGGTCCCTAATAATAATAATAATAAAAAACGGAGCAATTCCAATAGGGCCTACGCACCGTTTCGGTGCTCGGTCCCTAATAATAATAATAATAATAATAATAATAATAATAATAATAAAAAACGGAGCAATTCCAATAGGGCCTACGCACCGTTTCGGTGCTCGGTCCCTAATAATACCAAATCATTATTTAGCAGTCCTAACATCAAAACTGCATTGGCAAAGTAAATTACAGTATTGGGGTCAACGCTTGCATGCCAATAGGACAAAAAAAATTCTGAAAATCAAGATAACCTTTGCTTTGTACATTAGTAATAATTTCCCTTTCATAGAGCAGCACCTGTATTTTCGTCTTCTGTTTTGGCAGTAACATTCTCCTCATTTGAGCATTTTTAACCTCTTTCATCCCAAACAGCCATTGATCATAGATCTTACGCAGCAAAGTTGGAACACAATAACACATGAATAAGACTCTGTTTCTCTTCATCTCTGGATCTTTTTAGTTCCTGATGAAGGCTCATTGAGCGCGAACCGCACATTTTGGAGAATAAAACGAATTTGTGAGTCAAAAGGCACTGGCACTTTCATGGCAAGCTTCAGTCTTCTCACAGTCTCTTCTTTCCTAATAGCAACATAATTAATCCTCTGTAGTATTGTTTTCACTTTTCCATGTCCCACTTAGTGCTTGGCAAGTCTCTTTCTATCCCTACAGAACAGCCTCTTGATGTTTCCAACACAGAACTGCACTTACGAAAGATTGTTAATCAAGTTCAGAACGGCCCCGGATACTTGTCGGCTTCTCCAAACATCTTTCAGGTACAAATTAAACTTTCAGGTCTTTGTGCATCGAATCATGCATCCAGAAGCTGTTTGAAAGTACAAAAAGACATTTATTCTACATACAAAAATTGTGAACATCTTCAGAACACTGCGAGCATCACTATTTAGTGAAGCGATACAGCACTTTTAAGTACAGATAATGAGGATTTCTGCAGCAGTTCAGGACAAAATGTGCCCGTCCCGGGTGAATTTTACAGCAGGGAAATGATTTGCACAGTATTTGTGATTAAAAAGCTAAAGAACTACGCAAAATGAGAGAAGTGATGCACAGGAAAACTGATTTTCCATTCGTTTTCTTTTCAAAAGCAGCATACAGATGATTTAAGCTAATAATACAGTTTTCCCATGTTGAATTGGATAGGTTGAACACTATGGTAACATGACTATTTTCTTCTATGGTTACCTTTTTCAGTTAGTACTCATGTTATATTCTATTTGAGATCACTATACCATATGAAAAAAATACTTTACTCTCTAAACCTGAAGTTGGGTACACAATGTTGCCATACTTGTAATACACATTTTATTTAATGCTATGATTTGAAGGATTATTGTACTGTAAAGGATTATTGTACCACATTTTATTCTTAAATATTACATAAATATAACATTGGCAATTCTGGAGGTCGGGAAGTGTCATTGCATTCATCGTGATCATGATACATTTGGATACTTAAAGGAAAATATGCACAAATCATAAAATGACAACATGAGCATAGCCAGCACTAAAATCCCTTATCCATCTGTGTACCATTAACTGTGTTTAGTAGCTAGGTTCAACCGATTTACAAAGAAAACAAGACACATTTAACAATAAGTTGAGGTGATCTCTTTGGCCCTTGAGAGAATCTAAAGTACGGGACAAACAGAAGCCTTTAAAGCAGAAGTCTCAAACAATTCCTGGAGGGCCGTAGCTCTGCACAGTTTTGTTCCAACTCTAATCAAACTCAGCTGATCCAAATAATCGAGGCGTTTAAAAAGAGTCTTGAACACATTCATTAGTGGGATCAGCTGTTTAATCAGGGTCGGAGTAAAACTGTGCAGAGCTGTGGCCGTCCAGGAATTGTGTTTGAGACTTATGCTTTAAAGGCTTCTTAAAGGGATAGAACACCTCCAAAAATAAAAAATAAATGCTACTATTTTACCCTCAGGAAATTCAATATGTAATGTAGGTGAGTTTTTTTCTTTAGTAGAACATTAAACGATTAGTTGGCATTTTCAGAGTTAAATACCACACACAGGCAAAACTAAACTAGTACCCGTGGCTCCTGACGATGCACTTAAATCTGATGAAGCAAAATGATGCATCTGAGCATTATTAAAATAGTAGGTGCAGAAAATAGTCCAGAGTACAGTCATAATGATTGTAAGGATGTGTGCAGGTGTTTAACTTTCAACAAGTTTCAGCATATGTACTCACACGACCTTTCTTTCCATTGCTAACAACTTGTTTGCATCTGTCCATTGCCCATCATTATAAATGCTCAAGAGTGCTTGCAAAATCGTGTGAATAAATGAAAGTTTTGCAAATAATGCTCAGTTCCTTGAATAGACTAATTATTTTAAATGGATTAGACCTCAACGTACCATCAGAAACAATGGGTATTAATTTTGTTGTGCCTGCATGTCTTTAACTATGGGAAGATTAATATAAATCAATGGCTGCTAGCACTTTCAATTTCAGCTCAAATAATTATATAATTTATTGTATTTATTATATGTATTTTTAATGCATTTAGTATTATAATTTATTTGATCAGCAACTAAACAAAAAGTCCCCTACATCTTGAATGGCCTGAGGGAGAATAAATTACTTTTTTTTTTTTTTGGAGAACTATCCCTTAAAATACATCGGTTTGACTGCCCATTCACATTTGATTTTCCAAACACACTGCCTGACAGGAGTCTTTAAATGGGATTTAAGTAGGTGATATGCATTTGATCCTTGAGCGTAGAAGCATTTACTTCTCAACTCTAGCTGGTGGTTCTGTATCCAGGAAGGAGCTGTGCCACCGGTAGATTTTCATGCAGATACGTCATGCTGCCATGCTCCGAGAAATCTGCCACTGTGTGGCCTTCACCCCGCAACACCCACTTAGTCGTGAGAAGCCCTTCCAGCCCCACAGGACCACGGGCATGAATACGGGCAGTGCTGATGCCAACCTCCGCACCTATGGAACACCACAGGATTATCATTGGATAAAAAATTAACATTTCAAAATTTATTTAATGTGTGTAGAGGCTGATGAAAAAGACAATTACCTAGGCCAAACCGATATCCATCAGCAAACCGTGAGCTGGCATTCCAGAAGACACAGGCACTGTCCAACTGCTGGAGGAACTGCTCAGCTGTGTTCTCTACAGAGTATGGAGAAATACTTCAATAATGCATTGCTTTCTGTCAATTCATGTTCAGAAGTATCATCACAATCTTTCCACTAGATGGCACTACAGCACTGCAATTGAAGTTCTTATTAAAATCAAGAGCAGCTGTCAGTGTTGAGACTTCGGCTTCTATTGGGAGTAAATATCAATTAAAGAATTAAAAAATATAAATAACAAAAACAGCAACCAAACAGTATTTAATTAGGGAGCAACAAAACAGATGATCCAAATTCATATAACCTTTGATTCTAATATATTCAGTGCTCAGCATATACAAGTACACCCCTTACACATCTCTCATATTAATATTCTCTATAGGATGCTTTACAATATTATATTTGTGTATATGCATTAGATTAGTCAGTAGTGAAGCTAAATCTTGAGCTAGTCTCATGAAATAACTTACGGTTACGATCCAAAAACTAGTATCCCAAATTTATGCAAGAGAAAAAAAAAAATAAAAAAAAAAATGAAGAGAAACAAATAATGTAGAATATAGATTTTTGTTGATAATTTATTTTTTTTCTGTTTTTCAAATGAATTTGCAATGAATTTAAATGCATTATCCTTCTATTTCTAAAAATGTTCGGAGATTAAAATATTATTTCAAGAAACTTACCCTTTAAATAAATCTCGTTTGTTCAAATATAAGAAAATATATTTCCTATATTCACTGAGAAATGGATAAAATAAATAAAACATTAAACAAATATTCATTTTTAAAATGGCATATACTCATTTATGATGAGCACTGTGTATTAGTAAAGTAAATTGTCAAATTAGCACATATTTAATTAATTGATGGGTCATCTGCAGATTTAAACCATTTTAAACACTTGTAATTCAAAAAAGTTTGCAATTCTTAAGGTAATTAATCAACTGGGGTAGAATGGGGTAATTGTTGTTACCGTTCACCTACAAAAATATTTGCATCTTGCCTTAAAACAATTTACATAAATAGCAGTTAACATCAGCTTTAAAATAAACACCTATGAAAGCTTATAAGCTCGTAACTATGAAATCGACACACTAATGTATCTAGATTCATGACATGCAACGATCTCGTTGAGCTTTACCGTTCTCAGTGACGATAACATCAGTGTGTGAGCTGCCATATTTATGGATGTGATCTATAGCCTCCTGCATGCTGTCCACCACCTCGATACAGCACTCCAGATCTCCATACTCTGTACGCAAAGACTTCACTTCTGATGGACTAAAGGTTAGATAGGATGCAAACTTAGGGCCAGCGTGAATCTTGACCTAGAAGATTTAAAATTAACAATGATTTTAAAAATCATAAATACAAGTGTAGAATATCATTTTGCAATAAGCAAATAAAAGCCTGTTTTGGGAAAGAAAAACAGGTCCGAGACATAAATGTTTAGAATTTTGGGGTTTCTTAAGTTTAATTAATTCTAAGTGAAATTACACTTTTTTTATATATATATATGTATTAAGCAGCAGTTTAAAACATTACTATATTTTGTTAGCACCAATAAATATGCAATATTGTAATATATTACAATTTCCTTTTTAAAATGTTATATTTTTTTAAGTTATATTAAATGCTAATAATATCTGAAAATATTTAGCTTTTTTCCCCAAAAACTACATCTGCTTGTTGCCTAGGTGGGAATTAAACCTTTAAAAAGTTGTATCATTTTAAAGGGCCATGACACCCCCAAAGAATTTTTTCAAAAGATGCATGATTAATGGACGTGGAGCTCCGTGAGCATCGGGAAGGAGTGGGCGTGGCCAGCAGGGGAGAACGTGAGCAAACAACTGTTGTTGTCAGTTAGCTCACAAAATGAGACAAACCGTGAGGAGACGCATGAGTTTATAGTTTACAAAGTTAAAATGCAAAGAAACGAACAGTCATTTAATGCCCTGCTACATTTGTTATTCGTAATTTCATATACACATAACCAGAATTTATATCATTATAAAGATAAGTGTGTTCATGTAAACCCTATAAATGAGGACTTCTCCCTTAATCCCCGTATCCAGCAGACTCAGTGCAGCAGGTCTCCTGACCTGTCTATTTTAACTATTAGTCCTGCTGGTAATCTGGAGGATTTAGGCAAACACAGCAGCACAGTGATGTGTCTGAATGAGAACGAACTCCTGATAAAAGACAGCGTCCGCCATTCTCTAATTCTCGTGCTGCTCTCCCGACAAAAATGCTAGCAGCACACACACAGCTTTGCTGTATGATCGGCCCTGACAGGATCACGGGGAAAAAGCATGCAACAAACCCCGTGGATCATGGAAACAAACGCATATGAGCCTTCATGAACGGCTAAATACTTTGTGCCGTGGGTCCATCCGTGTCTCACAGCTCGGGCTTGACACTGGCAGGTCTGGCAGGTCTGATGAATAATTAAGCAGCCGGCTCTTCTCATAGGATAAGAAAACTCCGCTATGAATAATAATGAGAAACCGACGCGTCATCATTGCACTTGCAGTACTGCGCTACGTCGCCGAATTTGATCCCTCCCCAAAAATTATTTTAAACCCGGAAGCTGAAATTAGCTGACAAAAGCTCAAAATTATCCAGTTTTCCCCACAATTAAAGCTGACAGGTGCTAACATTGTCTTAACTGATGCTCAACACACACAAATCTGTTAATATAAAAAAAAAAAGTTCTCCAGGGTGTCCTGAACCTTTAAACACTTGCATATATTTGCATTACTTTTTTAGTTTTTATTACCCTGAAGAGGAAACAGCCTTCTACAGAAATAGTCAAAGACAGACTTGGTTACATTCCTTTAAGCACAAACCTAATTAAAGGCAACAGGTTTGAAACAAGGAGGATGATTAAATAATAAGAATTTTCATGCTTGAGTGACTGTCCCTTTAAGAATGAATGACATATGTATACAATTATATGGGGTCTTACTTGTTCTGTTCTCAGCATATCAATGATTTGATCAAATACTGGAGTTCTGAGAAGATCTCGATGCACCAACAGAGTTTCCATTGCGTTGCAGGCAGCAGGGTAGTCACATTTAGAGTCTCGGACTAGAGAGAGAAAACAACCATCATGAAATGAGAACTGCTGTTGTCATAATGTTGCAATTTCTGACTAACATGATACCAAAAAAATACAATATTGATTCAGTACGACAACATTATTTCAATATTATAAAAGAATTTAAGACCGTCAATCAAAATAAAGTTGACAAAATTGTAAAAGCATTAGAATCAAAAAAACTCGATAGCTAATGGGAAGTGTAGAAAAAAAAAAAAGACAAAAAAAAAAAAAAAAAAAAAACAGTAAATGTCTTACTGATTTTGATGGCTTTGTCAATACTGGCCTCGTGGTCAACATAGACATGGCAGATCCCCTCACTGTGGCCAAGCACAGGGATGCCTTTAGCTGCTCGCTGAATATCTCTGACCAGCTGCGAGGAGCCACGGGGAATGATCAGATCAATCATCTTCTCCAGACGACACAGATCCTCCACCTCTTCACGAGTGCTCACCTGCCACATATCAACACTGTTCAATGACTTCAGGTTTTACATTTGTAGACATGCATAGAAACACTGTTTTACTAATAAAGTACTTTTACTTTAACTTAAGTAAAGACATTTAAGTAACAAAAGTTGTTCATTTCAAACATTTTTAATCTACTATTCATCAAGAAACCTAAAAGTATTTGAGTTTGCACAAAAATATTTAAGCAGTGCAAGTTTTAAACATTTATACCAATAAGAAACGTTTCTTCAATTCAGCATATTAAAATGATTACTGAAGGATCATATAATGCTGAATAAAAGAGCAATTATGCTGAAAAAAAAAAAAAAAAAAATTCACCCTTGCCATGACACTTCACATTCACATCCACAAAACTTTTTACTTCAGAAAAAAATTAAGAAATTATCAAAATGGTGGAATAATCCTAGTTATTCATTCAACCATTTTTAAAGCACTTTACAAGCACCGAGCAGCAGACCAAAGTGCTGAACAGTAAAAATAAAATTATAACCTTATTCATAACATCTATAACATATTGTAAAAATAATAAAAGCCACACATAGCACATAGTATACATTTAAAACAATAACAACTGCACACGTAAGCCATACATATACACTATCCAACAAATATGAGATCAGGTGTCTACGGCCAAGGAAAAAAGGTAGATTTTGAGATGTGATTTAAACAGACAGCGAAGGGGCCAGCCTAATGTAAAGAGGTAGAGCATTCCATAAATTAGAGGCAGCCACTGCGAATGCACGATCACCTAAGCTTGTCTGATTTTTTGTCTTAAGTCTGATTTTTGTGACTCTAAGAAGCAGCTGATATAAGAGCACGCGACAGTATGTGGGAAAACAACAGGATTTTAAAATGACTTCTATATTGTACAGGTATTCATAAAACAAATACAAATGTTTTCTGTTATTTTGACCAATTGTCATTTTCTTAAAAGAAAAAAACTCTAATACACAATATTTGTGTTTAAAATTGGGAAGAAATGTTATCGGAGCTTTATAGAAAAAGGTCCAATCTCAATTATATTTTTGTACCACTACCCCTTCTACTTCACACTCTGTTTTAAGGGCCATGGAGAAGGGCTTCAAAATTTACCCCTAAGAAATGGGACAGCGCTACAGCACCTGCACACGTCATCATGTCTTCACAAGCTCTAGCTTCATATGAAATCAGACGATCGCGACTGCTGTAGTTATTCCAGTTGCGTTATTTTTTGGTATTTATCTTCAGAAAATCACTGAAGGCATATATCATGCTATAATACCAATATAATGTGGCAATAAGATCGTAGCTATACGGCGCATTTACACTGTGGCCATATTCATTCATGTAAACACACCAAAAACAACATTAAAGCAGACTGTGTAAAAAGCTCATTCCCAGTCACTGGACTTTTCTGACAAGGTATTCAAGTGTCATCGAGTGTCAATATTGTGGGACTGCTGTACAGGAGTTATTATTGTGGATTATAGATAGAGAAATTTAGCGGTTTTCATTTTAGTGTTTTTTTATTTTTATTTATTTATTTATTTATTTTTAAGCATGACTGTAAAACACGAAAGCCATTATGAATGTATTAAAACATAAGCTTGATTGTTGCAAAAATTTGTAATAATGACCAAAAAAATAAATAAATAAATACTAATTTGTGGATCTCCTTACTTCCAGGTGCAGCTATCCTGCCGTTGTGGCTGGTGTATTCCCAGGAAATTTTCTTACCCCTTGGTTGAGTATGGTCCTGAGTATTTGAGTATCTCAGTTCAAAGGGTTATCTACCCCTTACTCTTAGCCCTACGCCTTCAAGCTAAAGAGAATTGGGACACCTTTTCACAGGAACGCGCAAAACGAGGGGAAGGGCTAAGGGGTAGAATTGGGATTGGGCCAAAAACAACATTTTACACAGAGCATTTTACTCAAACATTTACGTAATAAATTCAGAGAAACTGAGTATTTTTTCATAGCAATATAGATATGCAAATGCAGACGCGTTTCATTTACCAGTTGGATGGCATCTTTGACTCCATGTATAGACAGGGCTTCCTGTGCAAGCTCATGCAGGATGCGATTGGTGTTGGCCGCCTCTTTGCCACCTTTCAGCAAAAGAGCATTTCCACTGGCAATGGCTAATGCAGAAACCTGTTGAGGTCAACAAAAAGGTGTCATTAAGCAGAGGTTGATTCAAAGTTGTTTACTGTACAGCAAGTTTGAAATCCTACAGTTTTCAGGTTCAGTTAACAGCAGGCCTCCCACTACTGACCAACCCATTAAATAAACACTCCACTTGTTTTGAAAATAGGCTCCTTTTTCAACTCACCTAGAGTTTAACAAAAAAAGTTTTACAATTTATATATATATATTTATATATATATATATATATATATATATATATATATATATATATTCAGCCAATCACCAAGTCTCCAGGAGCACTTAGCTAAGCATAAATTGGATGTGACAATTAACATCTCGCTTAAGTTCCTAGTTGTATTGACCTAGAAAATAGAAAATTTATTTTCCATCTGTAAAATATGCAATCTTGAAATAAGAAATAAATTAATAAATTATTTGGTCATTTTTGAGAGAGAGGCTAATGGTCTAATCCAATTCAATGATCTATGCTAAGCTAAGCGTTCCTGTCAGACCCTAACAATGGATTCAAAAATGGTAACTCAACTATTTCATTCTAAGTGTCTTGTAAAATGAGACTAATTTTTTTTTTTTAAAGTGGTTAACATACTCAAAAAAAGAAAAACACAAGCAAACGCAAGAATATAAAACAAACACAATTTATCCATTTATGTACAGTTGTGCATTTTGTGCTGACCTGAGGCAGGCAGTCTGGCCGTGACTCAAAGATGACCAGCAGTACTCCTATGGGCACAGTGATCTGCTCCAGCTCCAGGTTGTTTGCAACACGAGTCCTGCGCAAAACCCTGCCAACACTGTCCTGAGAGGACACCGCGATCTGACGCAGACCGATGGACAGACTGTTCAGCTTAGACGATGACAAACTAAGCCGCTTCAGCATAGCTGGAGACAGGCGACCTGTAACATCACACAAAAAGGATACTTTGCAATATGCCACTTTAATAAGGGGAAAAGAAATCTCATTGCATATGGTTTGGAAAGTAGCAGTCATTTCTGGTTACCCGTGTTGACAGCGTTCTCCATGTCCTTCTTGTTGGCAGACAGGATTTCTTCTTTCCTCTCTGTGAGAAGGTCAGCCAATGCACAGATGATGTCACTTCTCTGTAGACAACAGAATGATTAGATAGAGATGTAGACGACAAATTTTTATTTTTTTACTATTTTTAGACAGAGATTGTTACAACCCTATGGTTGCCATGTCTAATCTCTCTCTCTGCTCTGCCTTGAAAACCTCTGATTGGCCACTTCCGACTGATTTCTTGCTCCTGATTGGCCTAAAGTATTTTTAAAAAAGTCATGACAGAACTTCCTTGGTGCCCATCTTGTTTTGCTCACTTGCTTTGTTCTTTGAAATGTTTGTATGTTGGATAGTGCAAAGTTTTTGTATGTGTTAAAGTTTGTGACTATTGAAATTTGTGAATATCGTTTGTTTTGTGTTTGTTTTATTTGTGCTACTGGCTTGTTTGATCTTTTTGCCTGTTGACATAGATTTTTAGATTGTCATATGCTTGTCAATGCTTGTTCTGTAAATAGTTTGTAATTAGTGTATATTTATTATATTATTAATTACCTCCAGAATAGTAAACCACCCGTTCATTGCATGTCGGCATTGTCTTCTGGGGCACAGCTAATTTGTTAAATAAAGAAAAGATTGATGCAGCTTCTCCTGCTGCAGCTAATTTCGTTTTTACTGTTGATATTTGGTGCTAGTTAATCAGGAAGTGATGATTTTGTTCTCTTTGACGCATTGGATGGAAATGCTGCTTTATCCGCATGTCTTTTATGCGATATTCCAGTTTTGCACAAATTTAATTTGCATTTTTAGATGGAAACATAGCTACAGATACTAATTGTTTAGACTGAATTACGTTTGTTTGTTTGTTTGTTTGTTTGTTTACTGTTGCATCTGCAACTTAAGGCTATATCATGGCGGGATCAATATAGATAAAAACGTTAAATAATAAAAATATTAACTTCATAAATCAATAATTGATGGTACATAAAACTTCTACAAGGCTTCTGTGTTTTTTGAAATATGAAGTAGCAATAGACTTTAAAATTTTATGAAATGCCAAGGACCACAATTTCAGCTTTAAAAATAAATAAATAAATATCTTTTACAGGACAAAAAAAAAGGCACCTGGACCTTGCATGGCCTGAGGGTGAATCCATGAGCAGCAAATGTATATCCCGATAAAAATCCCTTTATACGATTACACACAGTATGATTCAGTACGAGTCATTAAAAATGAATGTTTAATATTATAGCTAACCTGCTCTGGTTCAAGGGAAGCAAGAGTCCTGCCAGCAGAGCGAGCCATTTCTGTCTGCTGCTCCACCGTGGGGCCTGTGCATGAAGAAAAGTAGTTTTTTTTTCGCAGACAAGCATAAAGGAGTCACCGGAGGAAACCTGATTCATCACTGCACACTCACCTGCTGGCTTGACCTCTGAGAAGAAGGTTCCCACTTTCTTGCCCTCAACAATATCAGTGATCACATGACCTGTGACTTTGGGGTGTGTACCGTTAGCAATGACCACAGACGTTCCTCCTTGGAGAGCCCAGAGAGCAGCTTTTACCTAAAGGTTAGTTACACAGACTGTTAGTTTCACTTTGTTGAAACTGAACTTCAACTCTGAAAACTGGAGTGAAGTAGTTTCAATTTATTACAACTTCTATGTTAAGCTGCTTTGACAATCAACATTGTAAAAGCTCTATAGAAATAAATATGAATTGAATTATTAGCTATAGGAAGAAGTATGATGAGTGACTCAGTTAGCCGTTAATAATACCTTGGCTTCCATTCCTCCGATGCCGACCCTAGACTTTGTGCCATAGGTTATTGATTGCTGGTCTCCAGGGTAAAATGTGTCCAAAAGCTTGGCATCATCTGACCCTGGTGGACTGTCATAAAGGCCTGGAGAGAGGATCAAGAGAAAACAGAGTAAAATGGTTCATGATGTCATTCCAAAATGAAAAGTCTGGCATTATTTCTTGGCATGTAATGAGCTAGCATCAATTGCAACTACATAAAAAGCAGTGAAATAAGCAATTTTTTTTTATGTAAGTGGGAAGCCTATTTGCATATTAACTATAACTTTATTAAAAATAATTTTTAAATCAATAATCTTTTTTGTAGTATTTTATAATACATAAATTTTATAATAAAATTTATAGTGTTACAACAGATTTGTTTTTTTAACACTAAAAATTCAAAATTATTTATTTATATACACAACATATTTTGAAAAGACATTGTATATAAATATTTGTACAACAGTTCTGTCTGGTTCTTGAATTTGATTGGCTGATAGCCATGAGATATCCAAGTAATATCAGCACTCTTACAACCTTGTATATTACTCTGCCCACACGAGTGACATGCAGAGGACAACAGTTTGACAAATATTGCAGGTGTTGTACAACATAATGTACTTTTGAGGTTTAGGTGAGAACGTAATGGGTTATATTGCAACTATGCAGTTTATTTTGAAAGACAGTGCCTATTTTAAATATTTAGAATTTCAGAGATTCAGCGCATTGGTGGCCAGCCTGTCATACTGAGCAGAGAAAAGACAATTGAGGTTCCACCACAAGATGGTGACAGAGATCGCATAAGTCCTTAGGGGATAAAAACTGCATTTTTTCAGCGTATGTTTCAAACTACAGATGAACAAATTGTTACAGAACAGTGATATCACACTACTACTTGTGATATTGCTCACTTATATAATATTTTTCTTTATATTTTATTATATTTTTATTTCTAAACAAACTTTACCGATGCACCAAAATGTAAATATGCAATATATACAGATAAAGTCGACACATCATACACTGACTAATACGGTACTGATAAATGCATTAAATCTGAAATCTTACCCTCTACATCAGAGAGAGCAATAAGGAGATCTGCCCTCATTTCCACAGCAAGCCTTGCAGCAAGACTGTCATTATCCTTAATGCTGATAACCTACGGTATAAAAAAAAAAAAGAAATACAGAGCATGAACGCAGTCTCAAAAGAGCAAGCTACAGACAGTTACCCTTGTCTTCTGACACCCCCAAAGCAGGACATCATCTCTATATATACATCATTCTGCATAAGCACTAAGCACTTCCCTCTAAACTACCAACATAAAAATAGTTGTGATGAACAGTGACTATCTAGTGTATGAAAAAGAAGAATTCCACAAGAACCACATTTGAAGCCGCAGCAAGTGCATGATAGAGCAAGCATAGATGAGCCCAGAGAGTAAGGAAGAATAATGTGAATGAGGTAATTTTAGATTCCTTCCAGTTTCTAAAGGAATGGAGAAAAACCCCTCAGGCTGCAATAGTGCAGAAGATAAAGATCAAGCCTCTGTATTTCTCTGTCTCCCAGCATGCATCAGTAAAGGCCCCTCCCAGCATGCAGTTCCAGAAGGAAGAAGATGGTGGCAAGGCTGCTGGGCAGATTCTCTCTCCCCATTCATTGTGCTCTGTACCCACATTTACCCCCTGTAGGTCGCTGTTGGGTTCTGGGGGAGGCACCACGGCATCGTTGGTGTTGATGATGGGAACGATGTTCATTCGCAGCAGCTCGTACAGAGTGCTATTCAAGTTTCGTCTTTTCTGTTCGTCGTGGAAGTCTAGGTTTGTTACCAGGATCTGATGCAAATAAACAAAAACAAAACATCAATATATGCGGTATAAGAGTCAATACATTATTTTGCACATTCCTACCTCTTAAGTTTGTTGTCATATTACAATCAGACCACTAGAATGTTTCTCAAAACTTTAAAAAGGATTTTTGATATTTCCTATATAAATGTCCTATATATTTTCCTATACATTTTCCTGAATTATGTAGTTATATCATGTACCAAGACCACATAAAAGTTGGCTTTTTTTTTAGGTCAAAATGATTTCTAGAAAAAAACACTCTCATTCTGACTTTAGAATTAAGGGACTTTGTTGCAGTAACATGGCTGCAACAGGTGCAATGATATTACTTTGCATCTGAAAATAGTCCCCAGCTATGTAACAGCACTGCATAATCAATTAAGCCATGGAAGTCCCTTGATTGTTATGCATTTTAAAAAAAAATAATAATAAATTATTATTTTTTTTTAAACAAGATTCTTATAGTCTAATCTGATTCAATGTTTTATGCTAAGCTAAAAGTGTTCCCCAACCCGCCAGAGCTGGAATGGATTTGAAAATGGTAAAATTTAACAATTTAATTCTAGGAGACTTGTAAAATTAACCTATTTCCAAAAAAGTGTTCATTTAAAGAATATCCTTTAACAATCTATGCATATTGCTTATTATAATGTATAACAGTTATTTATTATTACATTTACTAATATTCAATACTTATTAGATTAAGTGTGTTGTATACCATCTCAATCTCTGTATGTGTTTCGGTCATAAGTAATATTGAGTAACTGACATGTAATCAATGTAATGATCAATGTAGTCTTGAGATCTATCCATTATAAACATCATTTCAATGCAGCTTTCAAAGCCTGGCTTAATGTTGTAACTAAGCAGTTTTAGGTATAACAAATTATCATTTTTATGATCCACTGTTTTAACAATAAATATTACTTTTAACAGCGTTTTAATATAATGAATGATATGTAATGCATATTTGCAGTGTCTCAGATAAGCATTGAAGGGCATTTTGTGTGAAAAAGCATAAATAATTCAGCATTATTAAAAAAAAAAAATGGTATTTTATAAAATTATTTTGAGTTTTAGTAAAGTAACTATTCTTTCTAAATGTTTCACAATAATAGTCATTAACTAACAATAAACCTAATATTTGCATAAAGATACACAACATTTATACTGTAGTTGCATACAATACACTTTTGTTTTTACACAAGTTTCTCAATAATCTTGGTACTTACAAACACAGCCAGAGCTCAAATATATGTGTTATAATTTGCTAGATCTTCCCACTTAGAATAAATCAATAAGGGAGAGAAAGTGCAAGGGTGAGAGATTGTGTATATGCACATGTAAATGACACAGGCATATCTAATAACTCATATTAACATCAGTTTTATATATTTGAGCATATTAGCAAATTGGTTGATCTCTATCAGGTCACTGGTGAAGCACACAAATGAATCTCCAGCAATTCAGCGATTTGGTATGGTTACTACCAATGTTTGACAACAAATTCAATTAAAACTGCGATCAAAAACTGGATCTGCTTGTGCATTGAATGATTTTACTGCACACCTTCTAGCCAATAAGTGTCAAGAATTTCAACAGACCATGAAATAAAATTAAATAAAAACGAACAAAAGCAAGTGTATTTTGTGGAGTCACCATGCACATATATTAGTGTGTATGCGCTTACCTGGGCCGTGCAAGTGCTGTACTGAGTGAACATTGCCTCATACAGAGCCATAAGGCCACTCTGTCCTGCAGCGGCACAAGCTCTCGCCTCTAGAACCGGCAATGACTGCCAAAAGAAACATCCAGCATCAGCAGTATAACTTCTAAAATTAAAGGCATAGTTCATTTAGAAATGACAATTCATTTCAGAGATCATTTACACACTCTGGTGGTGTTAAATGGTGTATGTCCTTCTTTCTATTTTGCACCACAAAATGGTTGAAATGTTCTGATTGTGCTCATGTAGCAATAAGATTAAAAAAAAAAGAAAAAAAAAAGCATGGTGTATTAGTATTCTGGGGTTTACAATGGAGTCTGTTCAAAACAAAAACTACATTTAATGTTTAATCCTGACCTTAACTGTTAATCTTTGTGCATGACTGCACATTTATGAGTCTACTAGCTCAGACGTTCAGTTCAAATCAGCCAAAAACAAGTTGAGAAATCAAGATTAATAGAAACAAAACAATGAGGTAAAAATACCAGTCGTGTTCATCAAAACAGAAAGTAATCTGTCAGCTGTCAAGTGTCATCAGATTAGCACAGTTCCGGTGTGAAGTTATTCTTTACAGAGAAGAAACCACAGAAACTTCCTTTGTGGTCTCTAGATGTTTTAACAATATACAATTATCAAAATCTAATTGAACTGCTGCACTAATACAGTCGTTTTATTAATGAATAAACATGCAAATAATCAGTTTTATGTCAGGACCTTGTGGCATATAAAGAAACTAATGAGAACACAAATTCATACATAAACAGCTATTACACATTGCTAGTTACTGCATTAACTAATTTCATAATTGTTAATGTAAAAATCACAAAAACCTCTTCAGAGAGTTTGGATTAAAGTAAAAGATCATGTGTGCATTTTCTGCAATCATCATAAAATCACTTTTTAAACTTTAACATTTTGGCTGAATGCAATAATATTTTTCTAAAATAAAAAATAAAAAATGTGAGGGTAAGCATATTTTGTTTACTTTGACTGTAAAGTTGTATAAATTATTACATTTTTGTTACATTTTCCATTTTGACCAAAAATTCTGTTAACGGGTTTGTACAGTAGGTCTCACCATGTCTTTGAGCTGATTCTGGCCTGAATGCAGGGCTTGTCTGACACTCTGTGAGAGAAGTATTTCATGCCTCAGCCTTTGTTTTCCAAATGCCACAGCGCCACTGGTCACGATCATCATTTCCCTACCCTGATTCTGAAGCATGGCCACCTCAAAACAAAAATCAACACAAGCATCAAAATGTGTGAAAAATTTAAAAAGGGATGCTAATATTATTCAAAGCATCAAGACTTTTCTTTTGCAAATTCTTGCCCTCCGCTAATCTTTACCTGCTCTACGATTGAAGCGAGTCGGCCCAAAGCGAGGCCACACTCATCACCTCGGGTTACGACAGCACTTCCCAACTTGACGACGATTCTCTTGGCCTGGCGCAGCTCGCTCCGGTGAGCGAATGACTTACCATGCGCCCGTGCCAGCGGCACTGTAAAAAAAGGCACGTTACTCCACTGACGCACAGCATGGACTGTGTGAAATGGGGAGGAAGAGGGATCTGCATGGGAGAGAGAGCCAGGAAAAGGACCCAGTGAGGAGCCATGCCATGCAGGAAAGCCATGAGTGCATTGATGGAGTGTGTTAATGTCCACTGATTGTACTTGCAATCATCAGTGATGCAGTGAGGAGAGGGTGTATATGAGGGGAAATGGCAAGAGACAAGAAAAGAAAACAGGAAATGTAAAGTGTATGCTCAAGATGAATATCACTGAATCTGTGGCAAAAGTTCCTTTATTGTTATAGTAACTGCTAAAATGTAAATATAAACAAAAAAATTAACCATATGCTGGTCAACGGATTGTGCTGGCACATCACCGTTGCTGTAATATTTGTATTTATTATACTGTATATACAGGTGAAACCGGACGTTTACATACACTGTATAAAAAGGCACATAACCATTTAGAAAAAAGTCAGAGGTTAATGTGACTAAACTTTTTCTCTTTTGGGCAAGTTAGTATTATAAAATTTGTTTCTGTTATGCTTATTAGCAAAATGAGAGATATTTTTTTGAGAAATTGTTATAACTTTTCTTGAAAGCCAAGTTTACATACAATAAGATTATTATGCCTCTGAAAAAGCTCAAATGATGGTTTCAAGATTTTGGAAGTTTCTGAATAGCTAATAGACAACATTTGAGTTACAGTAATTGAAGGCACAATTGTAGAATAGACGCGGCTCTAGTTGCTGGTGATTGTCCTGTCTCTACAGATTTGGTAAGTGAGCGACCAGTGCTCTTTGTATATTCAGTTTGTTCGTATCAAATAAGTTAACTATTGCATTGAGTGCAAACATGTTAGCACCGCATTTTGTGACCGGAATAACACACGCGGCTTTCGGACGCTACCTGCCGTGTGCATCTAAGTTTCCGGGAAATGCTGAGTTTTTTTTCTGTCATTCGCCGTGCGGTATCAAACATTGCATGAAAAATACACGCTTAGAGCAGATCCTCGAATCAAATATCTCGTGTGTCGCGAGGGGCATGAATGAATTCCCTGAATGAAAGAGCCAGACTGCAGTTAAAGTCCAACATTTAATAATTTGGCAAATAATTCGACTACAGATGTCCATGTAGGTTAAACACCATCCCTTTCTCCTGTGTATTTTGACTGAAACTCGCGCGTGCCCAAATAGACACTCCCACACCCTCCCACTTTAGTTCCTCCGACACTCCCCCCTAAACAGAGCTGGACACCCCCACTTTTCAGACTTTTTCCAAAGAAGAGGTGTGAAAACACCCTGCTGAAACGAGGGGGTTTCATGGCCCTTTAAGGAAAACCTCAAACACACTGCTTTCTTGTGTGACTACATGAAAAAAATCAACAAGCCAGAATCTTAAGTCAAAATGAAGTCTATTGTACACATTTCATAATTAAAAATGAATAAAAAAAAATGTATAACAATTCATAGGAAATGTATAAAAATGATTAAAAAACGCATTACATTAATGCTCATTTATTTGGACATTAAATAGAATGTTATTGTAGTCCATAATGTGAAAAATATTCAGCTTAATGCTATTTGCCAGTTTTCTGGCTATTTTCAATATTGTGGCAAATAACATTAAGTTGAAGATTTTTTATTTTTTTTTAACAATCTTTCAATATTATTTTATATTAATATTATTCTAATAATAAATATTATTTAATGTATTATTTATAATATTTATATTATTAAAATGTTATATATTATTTATTTATTTATTTATAATAATAATTATATAATAATTATTTATTATTTATATAATAATATAAAAACCTCAGCCTTGTGCTGCGTTCCCCTCATTTTTCTGACAAGTGCCTCAGCAATCTACAGGCTTACAACGAGGGATTCATCAACCGTTTTTTAAAAGGAAGGATCAGAACAGACTATTGAAATATGGGACATTGTCAGAGTTTGACATGAACTTTACAAAACACAGTTCATGGATCCGTTTCATCCTGCATTTCACAAGTGCAAGTAAGTGAAACTGGTTGCCTCCTTGTTTTCTCTAGTTTGCAAATTAAGCATTTAATTGTTTTATTACTTTGTAACCGCTCCATGTGGCTTGTACTGTTTTTGGTTAACTTTATATTCTCATAATAACAACAACATCTAAAACCACGCTAAAAACGCGACACATTCTGCTTTGTTTACGGATTTAAATGCATTTGAGCTCAAGATCCCCTCCCATTTGTTGTTGCTATGGCCACCTTCAGCTGTTCCTATACACATGAATGTCACTGTTTTTACTCATGGTTAAGAATAGAGCAATATGCTGGTGTTAAACTGCATTGCTCTAATTTACTCCTGCATTGGGCTCACACATACAATCTGCATTCAGACTTCAGAGATTCAGAACTTCAACAATCTTGTTACGCCATGGTGGGCATTTCTCTCTGTCTTATGCTGAATGCAGTCGACAAATCACAACAGACTGGGTCATCAGACCAATCAGCGCAGATTAGCATCATGTTAAGGAGAGATAAAACCAAACTACAACCCATTTTAATGCATATCTTTAATGTATCTAAAAGCTAAACTACGTTGTTTAAAATGGCACTACTAAGTGTGCAGTCAAAATGTACATATTTTTAAACTTTAAGACTAAAAAGATAATATTTGAGAATGTTATTAAGTACTGTAATCTAAACTTAAAGCATCAACATAATGCCATTACTACAGTGACAACGTTTAACTCTGAAATGTTGCTTATTGGTTGTTAAATTAGTTTAAATGTTAATTAGTATCTTTTAAAGCTCTCCTTAGCTTTTTACTAATGATCCATGCAAAGCACAACAATGGCTGACATCAGACAACATTAACAATTACCAAATGCAGTCATACTTTTTTTTTTATCTGACATAAAGGTCAATGCAATCAATCAAGTAAAAAGAAACATGGTTCAAGCCATTCATCGCTACAAGCTTGTAAAGTGCCCACCAAAGCCCCGCTGCATTCTTTATGAATGAAAATAACATAGTAAAGGTTGCCACATCAGCAGAGACAAAGACAGCCAAACGCTGACAGGACAGAACTCAAAGAAGAGCAGCGACCCAGTGAATGAGAGATACAGACGGGCTGAAAATTAAGGTCAAGCATTGTCAATGAAATCAACTACTTGTATGTCTATTATTTCTACATTAACATCTGTCAGTTATTAACTAGAATATATTCTACACTGGTACAAAAGAATCAGTTTTGCAACACAATATCTTTTAATACCTATATGTGTTTCTTTCAAGAGGTATGAGAAACTTGGTACGCAACTACATACTTTTGCCCTGTGAAGCTGCTCGCCTGAATGTTTGCAGAGCATTTGGTCTTGCTAAAAGCCGCGAACAGGAGAACATCCTCTGGAGAGACATGGTGATCTGATCTGTAATGTAAATGAAACAGAAATCATCAGATATTTTCAAAAATCTACACATATAAAATAACCAAATCCACTCCGTTAGTTTGACAATTCAAGCAAATTCCTCATATAAATAAACTAAGTTATGTGACAACTTATGTGAAATTTTATTCATAAACTTAAAAGCTTAAACACATGTGACCTACATTCAATTCAGATTCGAAGTGAAGTTCATTCTTTAAAAACCTTTCATAACAGAAAGTGTTATTAAGGAGAGTTTATGTGATTTTATTACTTCACTTGGCATTTTTATTTGATTTCTTACGGAGATGTTTAGACTTCTTAAGATTTGCGTGCCGTCTACAGTAATATTTAACAAAATACGAGGTTCTTAATAATTATTCCTAATTATTTTTATTAACAAACACACAAAATGTATACAAACACACATTACAAACACTAACAACACGTCTTATTAACGTACTCAATTAACTTTCTTTAGAGACACGGCGGATGATGCAAGAAAGAAAGATACATGAGGTAACGTTAGCGTTATATTTTTAATAAAAGTGAACGTGTAATGCAATATTGTGTAAATATAATTATACATACCTTAATCTGTGCAATAAATATGAATAATTCAGCTCAAGTTCACTGCCACTGCTGTTCTTCGATGCCACATCAACTCTCAACAGCTGCTCGCATGGGTTCAGCCATGTTGACGTTTATCCACGTCGATACGCAACGAGCGTACGCAACCAATTAAATTACTTTCAGTGCAGTCCATTCACAAACGTATTTACGCCCGCATGATTTCACCGTTTACCTCATTTACGCAATCAGCGGGAAAAATACGGTTTCGTTTATATAACAACTAGAGCATTTATATCATTCCAGTAAGAGTCAGAATGTGCATTATGAGGTATTTAATCGGTATCTCGACCACAATGGCCAACGTTGTTTTATACTCCACATGTGTTTGAATTTTTTTCTCGAGCACTAGAGGGCGGTATCTTCATCCCTGACTGACCGGTCAACGACATTCCAGCAGCAGGTCGTTGACAATGGACTATTCTCAATGCTGATATTTTGCATAGTTTTCTTAGGACTTTGGAGAGTTGGTGACCCAGTTCTGCCTCCATCAATTCTCCTATAACAGCCCCTTGTCTGGACTGAATCGTTAAATGTCTTGTATATTGTGAATGATGCAGTGCAGATTCTGGGGTCATTAAAGAAATAGCTCACCTAAAACAAATATTAATCACTATTAACCCATCCTCAACTGTTTACAAACCACTATGAGTTTTTTTTTTAATTCTGTTGAACACAAAAGTAGATGATTTGAAGGAAGTTGTAACCATTGACTAGTAGCTTATGAAAAACAAATAGGCTACTGTGGAAGTCAATATTTACAACTTCCTTTAAAATATTTTCTTTTGTGTTTAACAGAAGAAAGACAGACAACGTTTTTTGAAACAAGTACAGAGTAAATGATAACAGAATATAGAATTTTTAAGCTCAATTGTAGCTAAAGGGATCTTTTCAAAAATAAATCATAAAGTAAAAATTGGCTGTTTAAAAGTAGTAAGTTTTCTTACGATCAATGAAATTGATTATTTTTTTTATTTTCAGTTACATTTTGTGTAATGGCATTTCAAGTTTTGCTTAGCACCTCCATTAATTATGGTGAAAAAATGAATTAAGTAGAAATAAAAAAGATGAGGCATAACCATATTACTTTAAACCTTATGCATTGTTGAGGATGTTTTCATGCACTCTGGGGTGATTTTGAGTCCTTATTGGGGTGATTTCTGGTGACAAAGCTTATTTTGACACATATTTTGAGAAAATGTTTAGAATTTAAAAACGATACACTGGGAGAATTTACTACCCTTGGCATGAAAACATCTATTGAATTAAACTGCTGTAAAATTGCATCAGATAATGTTTTTTTTTTATTTTATTTAAAGTTGGCATAAATCTGAGTGTGTGAGTGATCTTTGCGCACTTACCTTGATGTGTCAGAGAAAATCAAAATATGCATTTTAGCTCTCAGAACTACATGGAGTAAACAAAAACATAGACTGTGTATTTATGCACCAAATGTGGTTATAATGGAAGTCAATGGGGCAAAAACAGCCACCAACAGTCAATAAGAAAAAATTAAAATCGAACAATGCATTACAGCCAATGTTGTTACTAATAGTTTACATGTCCAAGACTGTGATAAAAGGTAAAAAACAATCCAGTCCACAAACACTTCTTATATTGCAAATACAGCATTGTATGTGTGTGTTTTTTTCTTCACCAAATCAGTCACGTCATTTGTGAACTTGGCAATTAAAAATCCTGTAAGTTTTAAAAACATTTAGTAGTTTTGATCAGGGCGAAGGTTGATTAACAGATTTATGCAAATATATCTAAAAAAATATTTATCTGAAGCATTTTTACAGCAGTTTAATTCTGTGGATGTGTTAATTTTTAACATAACAAAAGGTTAGTACATCTGAACAGTGCACAAGGGTTAAATACGGCATTTTTAATAAACTTTAGGTGTTTGTTTCCAAGTTGTTTTTTAAGGATGCTTTCAAGACAATTCACAGAATAACTGAAACCCTAAAATGGATATTAAATTAATAGGGTGGACAGTTACATTAAAAAGTATAACAATACTCTAAAATAATCTATTTATAGAAACAAACTTTGTTTAAAATATGAACATTTGAGAAAAAAAACGTTTAAATTTTTTAAATATTAAAAATATTTTTTTTCAAATGAGAAAAAAAGATTTGAGAAAAAATAGTTATTGTTATTATTTTCCATGTACCAACTCAAAATAGTAATACAAAAATCTTAATTGTAATAAAGTGTTTTCAAATTAAATAACAACAAAGGTAATCTAAAAAAAAAAACAATATAATAAAACATTGTATAATGACAGTTCAAATCACCTTCTACATTATTTCAAGTTTAACTCAATGTTTAATTCTAAAGTGTCACATTATGAAAGTTATTAAAAAAAGTTTAAACACCAGACTTGATACTACTACTACTACAATAAGAGACATATTATTGCATAACAAGGAATGACCCATAAAGCCTCATCTAATCTGTTCATTCTTTGTATCATGACAAAAAATAATTTAAAAGAGTGTGTCACTAACAAGTGTACCATAAACAACAGAGCCCAGATGTTCAAACAGGTTTTATTAATTTTCCACATTCCACACTCTCTTAGTTAAAAGCTTTGAACCCGTGACTGTATCTAAGACAAGTCCCAGAGTGTTTCCTGGCACAGATAGCAAGAAACACCTGGCAAAACTCTTGTGTTTGACAGAACTCTTCATCTTCTGCTATGGAGAACTTATTTAAAAGACAAGAAATATTGTATATCTGCACTCTTCATTAATGTATTTTCCAGTGTTTAAGTGAATCAATGGATGAATTCATATGCAGGGCATGATAGTAGGTTTTAAAAGTACTGAAGAACTCTTTAATGTTTTGCTAAACTAATTTAAAATCTATTTCAGAGAGTACCACTTAGAAGCATCTCGTTCACAATATCTCCTCCATCACATTATGCACACTTTTATCTTAAGAAATCAAATGAAAATGACATCTGTGCTGACTTAGTTCTTTAAATAGATCTTCACATGCACTGATAAATGATGACTTTTCACAAAAATTTGTTGAGTTAAAGTAAAAAAAAAAAAATAAATAAATAAAATCTGTGATCTAATCACTGAAAGCAGAAATAATATGCTATATATAAACGGAAGCATGCAAGTATTTCTCATTTAAAGAGAAATGCTAAAAGGCCATATGATTCCTCTGAAGTTTCATTATTAAATATTGCTGTTCTTTAGCATATGAGGAAATTAAAATGAACCCATTATGTGTTCTTAGAATTCTGTATGTGTCATTTGTCCTACGAGTCAAAAATGACCCGTCTTAAAACCTCCACAATAAAGCAGAAAAATTGCATTTTTAATCTTAAGTCTATTTTGCATGAAGAAACAACCTCATCGTTCATCAAAAACTTGATGAATGTCTAGATTTTCTCTCATCAATGTGCAATATTTTTATCAATGTTTAATCAGTGGTCACCTTTTGTTTTTTCACTATGATAAAGTTTTATATTTAATTAGAGGGATACAAAGTTAGTATTAGCTCAACTGTAAAATATCTGGGTGTCATATTTAACAGCAACTTCACTTTTGAAAATCATAACTTCCATTTCACAAAAACCACCCACTTTCATCTGAGAAACATTGTTAAGTTACAAAGTATGCTATCCATCTCAGACGCAGAAATACGAGTTCATGCTTTTATGACATCTAGGCTTGATAACTGTGATGCTCTGTTCACTGATTGCCCAGCATTCTCAATTAATAAACTTCAGTTTATTAAAATGCAGCTGCCAGAGTTCTTACCAAGTCTAGAAAATATGATCATATCACCCCAATTTTATCCTCCGTACACTGGCTGCATGCTAAGTTCTGTGTTGATTATAAAATATTGCTTCTTACATTTAAAGCATTTAAAGCTTTAAATGTAGCTCCTGTTTATCAAAGCCAACCTTCTGTCTCACTACAATCCAACTCGCTCTTTAAGATCTCAAAACCCAGTTTTGTACAGAATAGCAAAGTGTACTAAAGGAGGTCGAGCCTTCTCATTTATGGCTCCTGGAATAGCCTTTTAATCTACAAGGCTCAGACACACTCTCTCAGTTCAAAACTAGACTAAAGACCTATCTTTTAGTAAAGCATACACCCAATGCATCACATAACAATATGATGCATGAATGTGCATATGCAGGTGAGTAGGCTTGACAATCCAGACATTTTGTAAGAAATATTCATATGCTTTACATGTTTGTTTCTATGTTTGTTAATATAACTACTATTTTCATTTATAGCACTTCATTTTTTCATTTATATTTGATATCTCTTGTTTAAATACACTATAAACAGCAGCTATGCTAATTATTTTCTTTGTTCATTATTTCCACCTGGGGATGCTCATCCTGGGGCCTCTAGAGACTGTGCAGCGCCATTGATGAGATCCAATCCTGAAGAGATGATGCCAACCATCGAAGACCTCAAGAATGAAACATACGAAGAGATGATGCCAACCATAGAGTACTTCTAGGGGTCTCTATAATCCTGGACCAGGTCCTATCCTGAGCAAATGCAGCGGTGGTCATGGAGAAGTGGAGAGCATGAGACTGATTTCTGAAAGACCCCAGTGACAGGTGAGTCTGCATTGATTCTGAGTATGTGATTGATTCTGAGCCAGTATGATCACCCGCTGGTGACCTACTCACATCTGCAGCTTTTCCAGCATGAACGTCCAGTGTTCTCCAGCCTCCGGTGCCCAGACTGCAGCTCTGGACAGAAAGATCAGCCAGAGGAGAAATGGTCGTGCCCAACTGAGCCTGGTTTCTCTCAAGTTTTTTCCCCTTTACTTTCGTCAATCGGTGAAGTTTTGTTCTTCGCCACTGTCGCCTCTGACTAACTTGCTTTGATACTTGTAGAGCTGCAAATTGATGGATTTGCTCTGCAGTGTTTGGACTTTCAGCAAAGAAAATTAAACCCCACTGAACTAAACTGAACTAAACTAAACTTCAACTCTGAAAACTGAACCAATACAGTTTCAATTTACTAGAATTTTAATAGGAGTTCTATGTTAAGCTGCTTTGACACAGTCTACATTGTAAAGTGCTATAGACAAAACGATAAATTGAATTG